CCACCAACCACCTCAACTACCTGGCCTGGCCTGGTCCAATCATAAACAGGTTCAACTCGACGAAGCCACCGATGCCTGGGGCATCAAAGTTGAACGTGTGGAAATGTAAGTAGCACAGCTTGTTTACCCCCACACACACAGACACACACAACCTGGAAAAGTTTCTATGTCAAGCTATAAAAGTAATGTTATAAACGTTTCACCTCGCCAAGTCGAAGTTGATGTGCTCAAAAGGATATTGCGAGCTTTGCTGTTTAGTGCTACTACTGGGGTGATTTTTCTGAAGGGAATGGATTAGTTTCAATGTTTTCGAATTTTACTCCTCACTTTGGGTCAATTGTGCAGAGGAAAACGGCATTGTGTGCCAGTTAAACGACATAAGAGGTGGCTAATTGGTAGAACGAGATTTCCAAAGTTTTCTAGCCTAGAAACAACTGAATATAATGCAATAATAATTGGGCGAGCCATTTGATACAAGGTTCAAAATGTATTTCAAGTGGATTTCGTCCGTTGAATAATAACTATTCAGTTATTCTATATAAAACTAATTTCCAGCGAAAACAATTTTTAAGGGAACTTTAACTGGTAAATCGAGTACATCCTAAAAATAACGACATGAAACTGGAATATGCCCCACTACTTCTGCTGACTAGAGTCTCCCGAGTCTCCCAAAATCCCCAGCTTATATAACATTTAAATTGGCTAGTTTGAGCCCCGTAAACATTGTCATAGCCCCTGCAAGGCCACAGCACTCGAGTTTGTTGGCTATTTGTTTTATTTGCTATACCATTTTCCGGGCATTTATCACAATGTGGGATTGTGGGAGCTGGCTGCTGCCCTTTGTCTGCTGTCACCGAGGCCCCGTTGTTATAATTTATTATTTGCCACTCGTGGCAGGGTGGGCGGGGGCACGTGGCTACTTTGTCAGCTTCACTTTTTCGCAGTGCCAAGTGTTTTGACGTTGGCATGTCAAATGCTCATATAGGGCCAACACAATATGGCGGAGTGGAAGAGCCTGCCGCTGCTGGTGTGTTGGCCATGTTGAAACAGCTGCAACAACTTGACGCCCTGTCGCTTGTTGTTGGCCGTATTGTTGTTGCTGTTGTTGTGGCTATGTTGCGGCTGCTACCTTTTTCGCTCCCCTTCCCACCAAAAACAAACTCCCGCATTTCCAGCAGGCAAAAGTTGGCCGTTTTGCGATGAAAACGATTTCATTTTATGGCAGTTGTTGAATATTTCATTATTGCATCTCACTTCTTCGTCGCCGGCTGTGGTATGATATTGATCAGATGGCTTATAACTTCCTCAAATGGCCAATAAAGTGCTGCGAGAGATGGTGGTGTTTATGAGTTATATAACTCGATTTAAATTTGAGACGAATAGGGCGATATAAATATTATTTAATACATTTCACTTCACGGCTCGCTGCTCGTAAAAAATGTTTTCCAAGACCACATTTGAATTAAAGATGCGCCATTAGCATACAGCTCCGCACATTTCGGTTGATAGCTTTAAATTTAAAACTGTCCTCAGCAGATACATGTTATCTGAATGGGAAGTTCAAGCTTCGTCGTGCGCACTTATGCACTGAACAAAAAAATCGTACACTTCTTTAATAATTGTTTCATAATTTAGGAATAATAATCCTTTGCCCCTATATTTGATTTTTAGAATAGGAAGTCTGAGTATTTGGGTATAGGGATTAATAGCTAACGTTACGGGTACATTTTTCCGAGTGAAGATACTTGGTGGGTAACTAATGGCACCAGCTTTGAGTTAGGGGTATTTCCGAATCTGCAAGTCACGCCGGCTAATCTCGTTTTCTCCATCGACCGAGCAGCAAGGACGTGCGTCTGCCGGTGCAACTGCAACGTGCCATGGCCGCGGAGGCAGAAGCCGCCCGGGAAGCACGCGCCAAAGTCATCGCCGCCGAAGGAGAACAGAAGGCGTCGAGGGCTCTTCGCGAGGCATCTGAGGTGATTGGCGATTCGCCGGCTGCCCTCCAACTGCGCTACCTTCAGGTGGGTTACTTATCAGTGATTTGGCAGAGATTTAATACTGATTTATGCGTTAAAACCCATGCAGACACTCAACACCATATCCGCGGAGAAGAACTCGACCATTGTGTTCCCACTGCCCATCGATTTAATAACATATTTCCTCAAGACCAACGAGGCCACCACGCAGCAGAATGCCCGAGCAGCTGCGGCTGCAATTGGCAATACACCGCCGCCATTACAACTGGCACCGCAGCAGCAGATGCAGCAGCAACAGCCCCAGTACCAACAGCCTCAGCAGCAGCAGTTCCAGCCGCAGCAGCAGCAGCAACAACAGCAGCAGCAGCAGCAGCAACAACAACCGCAGCAGCAGGACCAACTCTACCAGCAGGGGCAGCAGATCTCATCAGCCATGTAAATCAGCTTAAGATCACAAAAGATTCGGCCTCGTCGACTCCAAAATGTCCTGCACAATGTGGGAAGAAAATCCTGTTGACGAGATTGCATAAATGTACTTCGGGGATATGTATCATATACGCATTTCCTTCGAAGAAATGCATATACCAATATCGATAGGAAAAGGGTTTTTGAACGCGCTCTTTTGTCCAGTCGACAATATTGCTTCTCATTTTCAAAGGCTAGTTGGCTCTGACGACCAGCTTAAAAATGTGTATCTCAAATTCCCCTATCCCTCCCCCCGAGATGCACATTTTAGAGTTAGTTTCCTTTTGGGAATGAAAGCTGGATATGTATTTTTTGTTAGGGAATGTTAGGGTATGCAATGCATTTGCCTGGGGTTATTAAGCAACAGTTCAAAATAAAATTGTGCAGAGCATTTCAAATAAAAACCAAAAAAAAAAAAACAACCAACGGAAACAACGATTCAAAAGAATCAAAAATCTTAGTTCATAACACCGATAAGTGCGATTCGAATGCGTTAGCCGACTGCGGATCCTTCAAGAAACACACGAGGGATCTGAGGTCAAGTAGATACAAAGATACAAACCTAGACTAGTTTCATACGAGGCGAAAATAGAGTTTAATATTTGTAGCTTTACGACCAGAGGATGCAATTCTAAATATTAAATGTAGGATCTAGAGGTGCATCTCAAGTTTACCACACCGCACAAAAATCAAAGTAATATACTTACAGCCTGCAAATAACTATTCAAATCACACCATTTCATGTGCGGTCGTTCAGGTGAAAATTCTAAAACCAACCAGTTTTGAAAGTCTCGAATTATGAAATTTGAAATAGTCAAAAATGGTTGGTTTGGTTTTGTCTTTTCAACAACTGGGCGAGCCACAGATTATTGTTTTTCACTCAATATTCCGCGAAGGTCCGTTTCCTTACATGCTAGTTAAAAGTTAAAGCATTTTACCTCCGATGCTAGTTAAGTTAAAGGATTTTGTTACTTTTATTAGGTATTTTATTAAACAACCTCTCATTTGGAAATTTAATGAATTAGCTGTACTAAGAAAACGGGCCTTCGATGAACAAAATATCCCATAGAATTGTTGACGAATGCGTTTTGTAAATGTTTATCAGTAAGATGGTTACCCTGTTAATTATGGATGAATCTGATGACTTGAGATATTGCTGTATACTTAGCTATGCAAATTTACCTTTAAGACGTGATCAGGTTAGTCCGTATAAAATAGAGTTACTGTTGTTCAAAACCAATTAAAACTTTATAGGACTTTAATAACTCTCATTATGAACAGTTGTACTCATATGGTACACCCAACATTCCTACAACTAATACAACTGTTAATCTGTTTCCCCTGGAGTAGATCCAGGCATCTAGACGATTTGTTTGATCTAATGGGTTTAGATAGCTTTTGCAAGTTGCCTAAACCCATGCTAACAGATCAAATCAAATAGTCAGCAACATTCGTAGGTCCAAATTACGAATGCCAAACAATAAATAAGAGTAATACGAATTTATTGTACATACAATAAACAAATAGATCAATTAAGCCGTAAAGAACTGTTTTATTCATTGACACATTAATTAATATTGTAAACTCGTAACGGATATACACCACACATCATACACAAACACAGGAAGTAGAAGAAACGTCTCGTCTCTCTCGAAGTAGAAACTGTCTACTTAAATGCGACTAAAGCTAGTTGTTGATCAAAGAAATGCAAGTTGAAAGTAAAGTGCATTTGCAGCACAGAAACGTTTACTTTTTAGAGCACTTCATGGATTACGAAAAAGAGTTATTGAATTAATAATATATACATATACAAGCATAACGAACTACATATTATGTACAATTTTGCCTTTGAAAATTTTTAAACAGAAACGATTTCATTATCCACATACAATTAGATATATGTGTAAAGGAACAATAAAATTTCTTCAACTTTTTTGGTATCCAAAAGAGCAAAAACAACAAAACGAGTCGTGAGTTTTATTTATCATTGTTTCAATCATGAAATTAAAATTTCCAAAGTGGTAAGTTTCAAACATATTTTAAGAGAAGGTAAAAAACAAGGTTTTAATGATGAAGTAAAATACGCAATACGAAATTAAGAAAGCCTCAATAAAACAACCGGTTTTTAGTTATTACATATTTGTCAATTTTATTAGTTATTATCATTATTATTTGTATTATGCATTACACACCTAACCGACTTAACGGACACATTTCTATCATTTTACATCAGCTAAATTCAGTTTTCATTCATATTTGAATCTGCGTGTTGAACCATTACCCGCAGTACATGACAATTCGCAGTTGTTTTTCTACAATTATTCATCAGACATTGCTATTCGTGTGTTATCAGGCAAAAACCGCTGTCAGCGCATGCAACACGCCTACCCAGGCAAAAGGCTGAAAAATTTTAGAAATCTTTCAATTTGATTGCCGCAGTTTGTATAAAATTTTTATTTTTGTTCTTGTTGTGGTTAATGCCTCGCGTGCCACTTGCGCCGCCAATGGCTGTTGTTTTTCAGCTGCCACAAAATCATTCATTATTAGTTCGGTATTATCTTCAATTAAATTTCTCGTTTATTTCTACACGTTATGTCAAGTTTATATACAAAAATTCATCAACTACGCTAAACAATTTCAGTTTTGCCTGTGAATTATAACAATATTTTAATTAATTATTTGCAGTGATTCCGTAATTACGTTGAATGCCATTTCATACAATGATTGGTTGTTGTTGTCGTTAGTTTTAAGCGTGGTTATCCTATAAACTGATCTCTGTGTGTGTTTACGTGTGAAATGCTTTGAGTTGCCGTATAAATCTTCTTTACAAATACATATATCTCAATACGAAATGCTAAACTTTGGTTTTATGCTACAGAATGTGCACACAATGGCCAACACAATATATGCTATATGTACTATATCGATGAACGACAAACTAAAATTATAACAAAAATCAAATAAATTAAATAAGGTCTCCTCAATCGATGTTCGATTCATGTGTGTTCTAGTGTGTGGATCCGTTCGTATCAGTCATCTAGAAGCTAAGATAGATGTGTGTTCTGTGTGGTTGATTGGTTGATACATTGATCGTTATCGTCTGATAATTTGCATTTGAAACCCTTAAGATAGCAGTTTATCCGTATGGCTTGAGTCGGGCTATTGATTTGGGCTGCACACGCAAGGAACAGCAGGTCTGGAGAGGAACTAAATGCGGGCCAACGCTGCAGGTTATACATCAATAGATATATCTAGACTACATGGACAGTGCCCAATTGTGTTGCTTGTGCTTAAGTATACGAACAAGGAATAAACAATAATTTTGGCATAAACTTAAATGTACTATAAACATTCATTGGTTCAATTGCTAACAACGAAATATGTCAAATGCGTTTTTCTCTCCTATTCATTGATTTGTACAAAATGCAATTTTCGCTTTCCTTACTTTTTTTTTCTAGCCTCACCTTCTCGAGGAAGAAGCAACATATTATGTTTTGGGTGATAGATCGTGTAGATTTCTGACTTGGAAGTAGAGACGAGGGGTGGACGCCACCTTATAAGTAAATGCCATCATTGGAGTTTCTCATTAGCAACAATTTGTTTTGCGTAAACTTGCGATTTCTTGATACGGGTTGATTGAGTCAAATAATACTTGGCTTAGTCGATAGTCGTGTGTGTGGAAAGTATCAGAAGAAAGTATTCAGCAGAGGGAGGTTAAGATCAAAAAGTTCTAGTTGTAGATTGGATTGGATTGTTTATACATAAAACCTAAGCACCGATTAAAGTAGCGTTAAATTGTAGCTGTATTCGATTTGAAATTCAATAGAGTTGCTTCAATTTCTTTCTTGCTCTGTTCTTGATTTCTTGGTATCATTTCTCGGCTCCTTACTTTTTCTGCTTAAGCTTAAAAAACTAGTTAAATACTTTCTATTTCCATAGTACATACAGTTAGGTATATAAATTATAAAATAGTTTTGCGTGTAAAATATAAAATTTTGTTTTCCGATCTTAGATTTTTTTTTTGTTTGTTTTGTCGATTTTTTGTTTGTAGTTGGTTTCTGAATTGTTTAGATACGCTTAAACACATACATATACCATACATATAGAGTTCATGTGTGTTGGTTGGTTGGTATGCAACTATGCCATTAAAAAGTCTTAAGAATTATAGTAAATATGCATATAAATGTATAATATATGTATAACTTTATATACTATATATATATCGTACGTGTGTGTATGCGTGTGAGAGAGTGTAGGTGATGTGTGTGATTAGGCTGGACTCTGTTTAGTCTTGCACCTCTCGATACGGCACCTCCGACGTGACCGAGAAGGACTCGAAGTAGTGGTTCAAGAACTCGAATGTCGGCCGCTTCTCGGGCACAGCATCCCAGCACTGGAGCAGCAGCTGATAAATGTTGTCCGGGAAGTAGTGATTCGTTGGCTTCGGCATGCGGAAACCGCGCTCGATGTTTTCAATCACCTCGCGACTATGCATGCCCGGATAGGGCACTTGTCCGTACGTGAACAGCTCCATCAGCAGAATGCCATAGGACCACACGTCCGACTTGATCGAGAACTTGCCGTAGATGATCGCCTCGGGCGCCGTCCACTTGACCGGAAACCGGGATCCCTGCTTGGGGCAGTACTCGTCATCCGCGATAACACGCGCCAATCCAAAATCACAAATCTTCGCCACATTATTCTCTCCAATCAGCACATTACGGGCTGCCAGATCGCGATGGATGAGCTGCTTGGACTCCAGATACTCCATGCCGCTGGCCACCTGGGTGGCTATGTAGATGAGATCCTCGAAGTGCAAGTAGCGGCCATCGCCCTCGCGCAAGAAGTCCAAAAGACTGCCCTTGGACATGTACTCCTGCACGATATAAATGGGCTCCTCCTGCAATGGATTCATACTTCATGTTACATACACATCAATCAAAATATATTTATAGCACTTACCTGCGAGCAAACAGCATACAGGGCCACCAGGCGGTTGTGGCGGAACTTCTTCATAATCGCGGCCTCCTGGAGGAAGGCAGCCGTGGACATGGTACCTTCACGCAAGGTTTTGACCGCTACATCGATGCTGTTGCGCCACTTGCCGTAGAAGACCTCGCCGAAGTTGCCGCGTCCCAGTTTGCGCAGCAGCTGAATCTCCGAGCGCGGAATCTCGTACTTATCACGCAGCTCCGGACCCAAGTCCCACATCTGGGGCTGCGGTTTGGGGCAGGGACGCGACAATATGTGACACAGGCCAAGAGCGTTTTCTTCAGAGATGGGGAAATTAATAAATAGGTTTTAGAGTCCCACACTGTTCGAAATCTTTATACTCACTGCTGTATGCCATGACCAAGGCCTGAAGCGAGGGGAACGTCTGATTGGTGGCAATGTAGTAGCCGCCGTTATCCAGCGGCTTGATACGGTAGTGCTTCACATGGTATCCACGTCCGTCCTCCCAATCCTTCACGGACAGCGAGTAGCCATTGGGATTGTGCTCTGAAGGTCGCACGAGGAATGTGCCACGAGGATTCTCCTCGGCCAACAGCAACTTGTCCGCCTCCTTTCGTAGCACGTTCTCAAAGAACCAGCTGGCAATGGAAGAGGTTGTTTAATTTTAAAGCATAAAACTTGGTTAAGATTGTAGAGATCCTGCTTAGCTCTTGTATAAAGTAAAGTAAAGTACAAATATCCGAATTTGTAATATATACAGGCACTTACTCTTCGCTGTTAACGCTGCGCTCCTCCGCCACAAAATTGAGCGGGATGAGGCCCTCCTGCCGGGTGGTTAGGTTCACGACGCGCCACCAATCGGACTCGGTGTCGTCGATGACCTCCATGCGGTCACCCTTCATGAAGCTCAGATCGGATTCATCGCGGGATTTATAGTCGTAGAGGGCCACGACAACGCGCTTGAGCACGACGCCAGGAACACCGGCTGGAAGCATGGAAAAAAAAAAAGTGTAAGGGATGAGGCAAGAGAGGTCGAGTCGAGTTAGTGGCAATTTTCGTCTGGCTGGGCAAATTTGATTTGCGTCCTTAAATTGCAATTTATGGCGACAAATTGGGAAATAATATTTTTTTTTCTACTTTCCGTGCCTATTTTGACTAACCAATTTGCCTGCCATGACCGAAACTTAATTAGAATCTAATGAGTTAAAGTATGGGCGTGTTGAGGCGGGTTGAGGGTGCCAAATGCAAATTGCAAATTGGATAGCATACTGTTCTGGGGGCCGGGGCCATAAACAACGAAACAATTTTCATTTTGTGCCCCGACAAACGCTGCCAAGCCACAATTTTTGGCACTGACTTGCATTTGGCTAATTGATTTAGCTCGCATCGAGGCAACGCATAAATAAACTGCTCTCGCCGCTTGCCAGTTCAGTTGCCTTGGCCGCTCGCTGCCCTCCATTGCAACCTCCGCCTCCCTCCACACCACTTTTTGACCCTTCTGGATCGCCGAACCCCCATCACCATCACCACGCCCAGGCCAAATGCCGAATGCAAAGTTCGTGCTGACAAAGTCGGCACAAATCACTGGCCAAGCACTCAACCTCTCGATGGGTTTACACGACCTAAGCGGCTTTACGGCCATATATGCTATAAGGCAGTACTGTCATGTCACGGATAGAAATGCCAGCGGTTAATCGGATGCCGGCGAGGTCTGCCTTCTCAACAAAAGACAGGTCAGATCAAAATAATACCGCCAATGTGACAGTTTTTTAAAGAAAAACCTTAAGCTGTTGAATTTTTACATTTTAATAGTTGTATATGTTGCAACAAAACCTAAAGGTTCCTAAGAGTACTTAAAGAGCTAACGACTTCATAGTACGCTTGGCATAAAAATGTGTGCTTCCTTTAAGCGATACCCCCTTTATTTGCATTGCTAATTTCTTTACCCCTTGAATTTCCTGTACTTACAGGAACCTTACAATTTTCTTGTGCAAATATAGCAAAAAGCCCCTGCCCTGCTGCTGGCAACTTGAAAACCTCCTTCCCAGCTGCAACTCCTTGCCAAACTCCCTGGGGTCTCGTAAACGCAATGTCGTGTCATATGGAATGCAATATCGCCGTCAAGGTGGCATTAAACAAACACCAACCCGACCCCCTTCCTTCCTTTTCTGGGCCACGCACCCGAGAAGTGGTCAAGGTTAACGACTCTCATCGCATTACCACTGCAAATATGAGAATTGCGCTGCCACCTGGCAAATGACTTGACTCCACCTCTGAACCTCCTGGGAGGGGAACTCTAATTATGGCAGTGGGGTATTACGGAGCCCGGCACTGGTGACTTGGATGAACGCTGGTTATGTGGCAGGTTAGTTAGTTAGCTGGCTGGCTGCCTGCCTGCCACATTATGCAAACACAAGGCCAACTAGCGGGTAAAAGCCAATCTCTGTGGCAGGCAAAAAGTCAAATTGCTAATTAAAAGCTGGAATTATCACTCCACCCACGGCCCAGGGGAGACCAACAGCCAACAGCTAATAACTAATGCATGATAATACTTAAGCAAACAGTGAAAATCCAACAGCGGTAGCTTCATTTATATGAATTTGGTTAGGCGCGTGAATGAATGGCAAAGGATTTAAAACATCATGACTTCGATTCTCTGACTAAAGTCTGGTAGAATCCTAAGCGAACTAACTATAAGCCGTACTATATTAAAAAAAACTAATTAAAATGCATCATACAAGTCATAGATTCTGGTACACGTACTGTAATTACTAATGGATGAAAGTACTCACTTGGTGTGGTGCGAGGTCGGATGATGTCAACGCCGCCCTTTCCGCCGATTTTCAACGGACCCCGATGATTGGGATCGGGGGTGTAGCGCGAGTCCAGGGAGCCCCCGTTGTTGTGCTTCTGGCCGAGAACGCCGCCCATGTTGCCGCCGCCGCTGCTGTTGATGTGCGTCTGGCCAAAGGTGTAGTCGGATTTCTTGTAGCCCCCAGTGGGATAGGCCAGTGCCAGTTCCTGATCCTGTCGCTTGCTGCAGCATTTGTTGCCCATGGCTTATGCAAGTGTCTCCTGGCGTGAACTCTTGATCTTGAGCTTTACGTGGCGGTTTTGGGGTCGTGGGCTAATGTTATATTATTATTATTATGTATATATATATATGTATATATGTTCCTAAGTTTTGTTCAGCTTTAGATCAGGCAACACATATTTGGCAATTAACGAGTTGTCCTTAACAGTAATTAAAAAGTTGTTGCAGCCCTTCTGTTTCGTATTTATGTTGTTCGATTACTTTATAGTAAGTAGTTTAAGCTATCAGTCAAGTTGGGTTCTGTGTTGGGCCCCTGCCTTAATTTTGCATCAAAAGCTGCAATTGGAGGGCATTTGCATTAGTTCATCTATCAACTGCTATCTGTGTGATGATCTCCTTGTTGGCCGAGCTGCAAAAACGCATTTCGTTCTGGATTTATATATAAAAAGTAGCCAGTAGCCGGTTGGCAGTTGCTGATGCATTCACAGCTGCAACTGCTGCTCCTTGATTGGGTTGATCCTTGCGGTCTGGTTCTGAGTCCTGCCAGCAATTTCAGCCAGCGACCGTCTGCACATTGCTGGCCGTCCTGGTCGTCAGTCACCTGTGAGCCAAAATGGGAGCAAACAAAGTGGAGAAAACCAAAATTAGTTAGTGTTAATAAATATTCATTAAATAAACATTTTCGCCCAGACAAAGGAATGCGAGCAGTCCACTGACCCGTGTCCACTCAGCCGGACGACAGTTGCCTTTTGCCAATTGTCCGACATCCTGTGGCTTCCTAAACGTTTTTGGCACATTATTACACTTGACTTGGCCGGCAGGCGAATTCAGTTTATGCACTCAAATCCCCTAGTATGTCCTACCATAGCTGCTATGGGTTCATCAGCCCCTTTTGTACTAGAGATGCCCACAGATACGAATATCAAATTAAATAGAACTTGTCAGATTTAATTGGCTTAATTCGTTCTGCTTTTGAATTTACCTATTTGTTGTATATTCTGTGTTGACTGGTATCTCTGCAATTGTCATTAGAATTTAATTTGCGCTACTGTCATATAACTTTTAATTGGCATTCTGTACCTTGCCTCATTAAAAGGTATATATAAAACAAACAATTACATTGGCATTTAATTATGACTTTCCATTTATAATAAGCAAATGGATAAATTGAAGTTCTTCAAATGAAAATTAATATATTCCGTTAAAACAAAATATCTATTTCAATGTCATATTTATTCTGATATTTAATGACTTCTTCAGAATGTGGATATGTTTTTTGAATCACACTCACATTTAACTCAATTAAGATCCCCAAGAGGTAACACTACACCTCGCCAGCAAAACTCATCACTCTCGTCTGCCGGAGGGCAATAGTTGCACACAACCATTCGACGATGCCACAGTGACCACAATACATGTACAGCAAATGCAGCAGCAACATCAACCGCTGCAACAACTGCAGCAGCAGCAGCAGCAGCCATTTGAAAGGATGCCAGCTGGGCAGGCTCAACTTCACTCCGCCGCAGCCATTGTCTATTGACTCAAGCCTGGCAGGCATCTGTTTATTGTTCAATTGGATAATTATGGTCTCCGATGCAGAGTCGAGGATGCGGCTGCGAATGAGGATGAGGATGGCATGGGCGTGTTGTGCTGTTAGGCCAAGGTTGAACCACTCGATGGCCCGGCTCTTCCTGCGCTGAGGACACTCCCCTGACAATCTAGATTGCTGCTGCAGTTTCGAATTTTAATTGTTATTGTTGCGCATTTGTTGTGTGTGCGCAGCTGGCATGAAATTGTCGCTATGCTGGCAGTTGCCAGGATGCATTTGCGGCATTAGCTAATATCCTGACATTGTTCCGGCCCGCCTCGCATGGCGTGCCGTCAATTATTAAAGCCATGTTAAGTCCTAGACTCAAGTGAGCTCTTGGCAGACAAAGAAAGTGCCTAGGAAGATGGGACAATTAGTGGATCATCACCCCTTAAGTAAGCTAATTTACACAGATTCAGGCGCTATCTTTTTAAGGTTGAATAAAAACCTATCAAAATGATGCTATAAAAGTTGATTAGTTGTTTCCAGTGCATTGTGCATTAGCGCCAAAATGCCAACCAAAATAAAAATGGTGAAAAGTGCTGTCGACTTGACAGTGACTGGAGTGTGGAAATTGTGCCAGGACATTTAAAATGTCTGCGTTTTGTCGGCGCGACGTCTGCATTTAGTGTCCCCTCAACTTGATAAACATACACAACGTGTGGCGCTTTAAAATCCGCCAACAACAAGCACAAAAGTTTGAATGGATTTGCGTTCGTTTGCCCATAAAAAGTCAAAGTTTGTTTTTCGGCGAGTTCATGAACCCGTCCGCCCAGCAACAACAGCAAAAACAACTGCGAAAAGTTCCACGGGGGTCAAGCAACCTTTACTTTTTGGGGTCGAAGTGAACGAAACGGAGTAGCCAGCATTGAAGCTGCAATAATGTTGGGAAATTCTATACAATTATGTACGTGGCTTTACGAGATGTACTTTAAAAGTCAGTGACTGGATTATTTTTTACTACCCATCGCGTTCAACAAAGAAAGAGCAACAGTTGATGGGCTGGCGATGGGATAAAGTGATAGGGTAATATGCTAATAATGTTATCAACAGCTTGTAAAGATGAATGAGTGTCCTTCATTGTTGTTGAACAAAGTGTGTCTACGATGTATACAAACTATATAATAGTTATAGTCGTACTTCGGAATCTAATATACTCATCCTAAAACACTTTTTCTATTGAAATCATGAGTACTTTTATATATTTCATTTACGTGTCAGTTTTGTTTAGGGTATAAACAATGTTTATGTTCTCAAATTTTAATGCCATAAAATTTCTCTCCATAACATTATTCACACTTCAACTCGGTTTGTGCCCAGAAGGACAGGTGACACACTGGGGCTATGGAGACTGTGCCGCAAAAACGAGCGATTTATGACCCCAACGCAGTGGTGTATCAAAAACCGAAAGCAAATGGTCGATTGGGGATTGCGGGCAAAGAGTTGGAATCGAAAAAGTATACGAATATATCATAGCTGTTGGGTTGATGGCCAGCAAATGAAAAGCAGAGTTGCCGGTTACCAATTCTCGGGGTTTCCACAGCTGACAGCGATTCGGTTTCACTTCTGTGTGTGTGTGACATGAAAATGTAATTTTCTAGTTTACTTTTGGGGGGGTTTTGGGGCGTACACACGTAGAGTGTATTGTGTGTTGTGGGTTGTGGGAGGGCTGTGTTGTTGCACACGAGCAATAAATAACTATTGTTGAAGTTGACAAAACTAAATGAATACTTAATTGGATATTGCGGCTTTGAATGCGCTACAAAGTCGGCAGCACGAATGTGATAACTTGGATATTATGATGGGTCTTTGCTTGTGTCAAGATGGAAATAGAAAATATTGGGTCAACAAATAGAGTTCCACAAGCCAATTAAAACTAATTTAAGGAAATTTGGGGCAAATATAAATCAAAGTGTCCATGTATCGTAATCACTACCGCTCCATTTATAAATTATATTTAAAGTTATAAAAAAGTTAATCAAGGTTCTTGAATTTATTCAATTTATTCCGGCCTAGTTTCGCATAATATTTCCTGCTGATCCCTGGCATTTTAAACCAGCCGTTTGAACTACATTGTGGCCAAATTAACAATGTGCCCCCAAAATAGTTGCGGAAATGGTCTCACCACTGCCTAATAAAATCAAATATTATGCAAAAAAGAATGTGATTCCCCTGGGGAGACCCAAAACCAACCGCATGTCAGGCCAAATCCTCGAGGACATAAAGGCATTAACTGTAAATGCCGTAATGCCGTCATTTCCCGCTGACAGTCCTACACACACACACACACACACACACACACTCTGAGAAATGTGGAGCGTCTTTGATAAGGGGCGGTTTTTGGGGGTGGTTGCTGCAGAATGGAAATGGAAAATGGTTCTGTTTCGCCCACATTTTTTTATTGCGCTCCATTATTATTATACCGCATCCCCACCATCGCCTGCGTCCGTCCTTCGTCAGCTGTAGCCACATTGTTGCCTACTTAAAAAGTCAATTTGTGTGACGTCCTCGTTGTCATCCTGTTGCCGTGGATGTGTGGATGTGTAGATGTGGATGTGAATGTGGATGCCGATGCCGCGCCGACCAATTTCCCCACCGACTTTTGTCTTATCTGTGCGTTCAACCCGGAGTGACACAGTCGTTCACCTTTAAGCGTCACGTGCTATCGATTAGTCGTCCTATAAAGGAATTTCCCGAATAAAGTAAAATATACACGGACATCTGTTGGTGCGGAAGGGAAATGTGTAACAGTGAAATTGCCTTCGTCTAAGTAATGAAGAGCACAATAAATTCTCGATTTATGTATATCTAGTATACCAGGGTAGGCTCTATAGATTAAATGAAACTACTATCTATCCGAGTGACGTTGACGTGACATCGAAATTGAATTTGTTGCATAAAACATTAGAATTAAACCGTTCGACTGGCTTCCATGCTCGTCGCTTTAATATTAAATTGCACTTTACTTTAGAACGCCATAAATAAATGAAAACATAAATATATCATAGTGTTTATTGGCACGTACTGTAAGCTCTTCCTCACCAGCAAACAAATAACAATTTTTATACATTTATCCTTGTTTGTGTGGAGTCATTAATAATGCATCAAGGGAAAAGTTCACAAAAAACAAAAAAAGGAATTGGTATTAAAAGCAGCATGTTGATAAAATTATGACATTTCACGAAAATTAAATTGGTTATCAGACAAGCGAAATATTTTGTAGCCAATTACGAATTAAATACCATTTATTTAAAGGTATTTAATTGGAAAAAATTACTGGTACAACTCAAATACGTAAGTGTAATTCATGACTATCAATTTACAGGAAATTATTTCTTTGAAGTTGGAATTAATTGAACATTGTCTGTGGATGTCCAAATTGAAATAGAGAGCAAATGAACGAGCACATAAATTAAGCTAATTTATGCCATAAGCAAATGGGAAGTTGACAGCCAGATATAAGGGACCAATCAATTTATTTATGCAAGTATCTATTACCAACTCCCTCGAACTCTTGGCACGGATCAGATCTGCCCGACAGATTCTATTTACGACGGTCTGGACTTGGCACTGTAGCGATTTCCGTTCCCTGCCTCCGAGAGCATTAAACAAATGAACTAGAAGCAATATTCATAAGCCAGAGCACTGAAAGCCTCCCCCACATCGACAACACGGAGAAAAACTAGTATTAAGGGTGCTACATAAAGTGATTATCCCCTTGAAACTACCAAATTAGATACTTTATTGTATCAAAAGTAATTTTTATACAAAGCTTTCCTCGGCATCATTATGTTAATTACCATTTTGTAACAATTAAAAAAAAAACATATTTAGTATTTATAATCCTATTTGAGATCTTCAAAAAAGGTTTTCGCTCAAGTGTAGATACATTAATATGGTTTTATGTACACTGACCGACTTCAGGGCCAGTGTGACAAGTTCATGTGACAAAAATCAATCAGATGGCGTGAGCAGCCGCAGCCATATGGAGATTAAAGTTATATATATGGACT